ATGTATGTATGTATGTATGTATGTATGTATGTATGTATGTATGTATGTATGTATGTATGTATGTATGTATGTATGTATGTATGTATGTATGTATGTAATGTATGTATGTAATGTATGTATGTATGTATGTATGTATGTATGTATGTATGTATGTATGTATGTATGTAATGTATGTATGTATGTATGTATGTATGTATGTATGTATGTATGTATGTATGTATGTATGTATGTATGTATGTGTATGTAATGTATGTATGTATGTATGTATGTATGTATGTATGTATGTATGTATGTATGTATGTATGTATGTATGTATGTATGTATGTATGTATGTATGTATGTATGTATGTATGTATGTATGTAATGTAATGTATGTATATGTATGTATGTATGTATGTATGTATGTATGTATGTATGTATGTATGTATGTATGTATGTATGTATGTATGTATGTATGTATGTATGTATGTATGTATGTATGTATGTATGTATGTATGTATGTATGTATGTATGTATGTATGTATGTATGTATGTATGTATGTATGTATGTATGTATGTATGTATGTATGTATGTATGTATGTATGTATGTATGTATGTATGTATGTATGTATGTATGTATGTATGTATGTATGTATGTATGTATGTATGTATGTATGTATGTATGTATGTATGTATGTATGTATGTATGTATGTATGTATGTATGTATGTATGTATGTATGTATGTATATGTATGTATGTATGTATGTATGTATGTATGTATGTGTATGTATGTATGTATGTATGTATGTATGTATGTATGTATGTATGTATGTATGTATGTAATGTATGTATGTATGTATGTATGTATGTATGTATGTATGTATGTATGTATGTATGTATGTATGTATGTATGTATGTATGTATGTATGTATGTATGTATGTATGTATGTATGTATGTATGTATGTATGTATGTATGTATGTATGTATGTATGTAATGTATGTATGTATGTATGTATGTATGTATGTATGTATGTATGTATGTATGTATGTATGTATGTATGTATGTATGTATGTATGTATGTATGTATGTATGTATGTATGTATGTATGTATGTATGTATGTATGTATGTATGTATGTATGTATGTATGTATGTATGTATGTATGTATGTATGTATGTATGTATGTATGTATGTATGTATGTATGTATGTATGTATGTATGTATGTATGTATGTATGTATGTATGTATGTATGTATGTATGTACGTGTGTATGTATGTATGTATATATACACATGTGTCTATGTGTGTTGTTTGTTTGTTCGCGAAGCCCCCAAATGAATCAGACACGCATGAGGATAGGAAGAGTACTTGGTTTCAAAGTCTGCCCACACCTGCTCTGATTTAGCTTGTTTCTTCCTGTAAGTGTATGATGCCAACAACCTTGTCGAATCATGCAATCCGATTTGATATGTTTTTGCACAACAACTTCTTCTCAGACTCAGTCATTTTTGAACTTGGCCATATAAGGATCTACTTCTCCGGCGAGGAGGGCTCGGCAGCCTACACGAAGGCCCGGGAATTCTCCCAGAAGGTCTCCACTCTGGGCGTGGACGGCGGCAACAAGCAGTGGGCTGCGGCCGCACAGGACGCGGTAAGTCTAGACACAGCGGCAACCGAAAGGGAGACAAACAACGACCGGTTTCAATGTGTTCGACGGCCGCTGAGCATCCCGCAGCCAGCGATTTGCAAGTTTGCAATATGACATGCTGTGTAATGGCTGCTTTGGGAGCAGTGCTACATTTCTTTGAATCAGGATCAATATAATGAGCAGCACTTTGATTGGTTCAGGGTTTTGCTTCTTGTCTCTGTTTGGTTGACGGTCAAGCGGCGATCACAGGAGAAGTGGCTTTCTTGGGCATGTCACCCTGCGCTTGCTAGGACTACGACAAGGCCGCTGCGATCTTGAGCGAGTGGCTTTGCTTGCACTTGTAAGCTGCCTTTCGTATATAATTCTGTTGCTCCCGCATCAAATCCGTAGTTCTCACTACCTCAGCGCTATTTGTGGCTTGCAACTGGTAAACCAGTCCTAAGGCCAATGGCAACTGGGTATCGCCCTCTCTTACTGATTGAGGTGAGGGTAATCTAGTACTAGCATCATGCTCTTAAGTCAGGCCAACTGCCCGAATGGGTTACCCGAGACGGTCCAGCATGGGCCACCTGAAAATTAGGTGCATAGCCCTGAAAGAAGTGCCTGATGAGACCTGGCCTGGCCTGCTCTACCAGAACATGACTCCACCCTGATATCAGCGAATAAACCATGAGGAATCTCTGCCGCTGCACTTCTCCTGGAGTTTGCCATGTTTGGCATGGTTAAGCACATTTTAGCTTTAAATTTGTATTGACTGACCTCACCGACTGTCGTGTGCGTCTCAGGAACCTTGTGACGCGTTTCAAGCTAGCCAAGGTGGAAGCAGCTCGCGAACTTCTGAGATGGCGCAGGCCCTTTGCTTTTTGAGAGCTCGTAACATCAAGTCCGTGAGCGCATAGCACCTGCTTGAGGAGAAAGTCAGCAGGGCGCCAAAGACATGGGTCCCGTGTCTCCGAGTGCTGAACCCCCTCTTTAGTGTTGCAAGTGAACCTGCAAGACCATTTATTGGGCCCCTTATCTGTTAAGATGTCCAAGGACTCCCAATTGAAAACCAGAGGGTAGGATGCAGGCCACATAGCCGGAGAACCTTACGCGGTTTGGCGTCAATGTGCATTGCAAGTCTTCGGAACTTTAGCAGTTGGGCCCGGAGTCGTTCTTGACAAGGCTGTCCTCCATTGAATTTGACCCTTGCAGACTTTGCTGCAAAATGGTTACACACAAATTGAACAAAGGATGGCATGCCTGGTCAGTTCTTGTTTCTGGCACACAGGTTTCCTCAAGAACTCGGGACTAGGACCCACCCATGGATCAGGCATCACAGCATCATTGCATCACCACTACTGTGAGGAAAGTTTGACTGCATCATTTGACCATATTTGACCTGGATGACTGCGTTACCATGCGCGTTGCTGCTTTAAACAACTCAAGTCACCCGATTAGTCCCAACAGTGAATGTCCTACAGGCATATTGAACAATAAAACTTGTTTGCGCCCATCGCTTCCTTGGAGCACACCATATCAGACATACACCAACACGCTTCTGGTCTGGCCTCACCCCAGTTGATGGCTCTGAACACGCTCGGTAGGTAAGTCCAGCTGATTTTCCAGAGTGTCCAAAGAAGGGATTTTTCCCTGAAGCGTATGGAGCTTCTTTGTTCAGGCATGCTTCCCAAACCCACGATCACCAGGCAGAGACACGGTTACGCTACAACTTCGTGTAGAGTGGATAGCCAATTTGTTGGCAAGCTTAGTGGGTGTAAGCAAGCAACACACATAAGCGGTGTTTTTTTTGCCCGCAATCCAATATAGTAGGGAGAGGAACAACACTATTGAACATGTGCACCTGCGGAAGGCTTCGCGGGAGGGATTCGCAGAAGGTTTGCGGAAGCTTTGTGGTTGATATGACATTCACTGATTTAGTTTGCGTGCGTAGAAAAGCACGGGGAAACGATTAGGTGTTGCTGCGTACAAGAAGCACAACGCTTACTAGAAGAGCACTTGCCAACAGCAAGCCAAGAAGACCAAAACAGCCGGCGGATTTTGCCGCAGGTTTGCGGAAGGTTGCGGGAAGCTCTGCGGAAGGGTGGCCCCGAGTTTGTGCCCAAGATGCACGGGTCGCCCAATGGAACCAGGCGTACACAGGCTGCGGCAAAACATTACTTTCCTTACTCACTTTGCTTTCTGCGCCAATCCTCGCGGAAGCAAATCTTGTAAAACACGCGCCGCGGAAGGTTTGTGGAAGCAAACTATGAAAAACATGTGCCGCGGAAGTGTCCGAAGCTTGAAGAATGTCCAATCAAGTTTGCAGGGAATAGAAGCCAACGCTCACATGGAGCCAATCAGGACGCCCCATTTGGCCAGCTGGGTATCTGCTGGTTGGACCAGCAGACTTTGCTTTTGCCGTTCTCGGGCATGACACTTGTCAAAGAACTTGACAACTCACAGCTCATTGTATCGAAGATGGTTCCAACCTCCTCGGAATAACGAGGGTAAGCACCAGTATTGCCAAGGGCAAACAGTTCACTTACTTACCAGCCCATCAACATGACTTGTGTGAGGGTCTTCAAGGTTTGGCGCAAAATCAGAAACTTGAGCCTGAATCTATTCAAGAAAAGTGGTTGGTTTCAATCATGTGTATGCTGGACCCTGCTCTCACCCATTTAACAGTGGCTTAATGTAGCTTATTCCGAAGACCGTTGGCAAAGAAGAACGACTTGTGGGGTGGGTGGGTAGAGCTTGTATTGCTTGTGTGGACTGGAAAATGCACAAGCTAGTGCTGCATTCTCAACAATGTGTGATGCAAACTGTCTACACTGCCTGCTCCGCTCTGCCAGTAGCAGCAGGAACACAGATGAATGACACTGGAGCATAGCAACAAAGAGCACCTGCACAGAGCCAGTGACTTAAAAGACCTCTTGGCATACCTGACATCGCTTTGGACATGACCAAACTTGGCGCAGTGAGAATTAGAATGGTCGATGCCTGATGCCCGATGGCCTCCAGTCACAAGGAGACGCTTCGCAGGGCAAAACTGCTCCAGCACCATGGATGCAGCGTGAGCCAACACCACAACCTCGGTTATTTGAAAGTAGTGGACATTCGCAGCCATCAATAGGGGCCAACTTTGTAGACCTACACGAGGTTTTGTGTAGTCTTGTTTCAATTCGGATTTGTGGGGATTCAGATCGCATGTGCAACCAATGGTTGCTTCTAAGTCTTGGATCTTCTGGATCACTTGAAGTCTCAATTTGGTCCAACAGACCAGCCGTTTCCGTCCGGGTTGCTGGATTAGCAACGTGTGTTACTTGCGTGCTTTGCGGTTTGGGGAACATTGTCTCACAAGTTTGTGCTCACCATGCTCAGCTGGATGTCCTGTGCTCAATTTGGCGCCCCCAAACGGCATGTGGTTTTCCCTACGGCTTTGTCCAGTGATCTGCTGCACGTAGTTCCCATAGGAGCACACGTTGCAGGGCATCTATGACACATACTTGTTCGCCAGCTTTCTCCCAGAACTTGATCATTTCCGAGCTTCAGCGCGCATGTTGGCCTTGGTCCAGTCGACGGCTTCGAGGCGCGATGTCCTCGTGGGGCTCACGGACGCCGAGCGCGCCATCGTGGCGGATGGGGAGAAGGGTCGACACGCCGAGGCCACGGAGCGCGAGGCGGGGCTGGGATCGCTGCAGTTTCCACGGATCGCAGCAGAGCCCAGCTGCCCAGTGGTGCCCTTTTCCCCCTTTTTTGGGGGAAGGGTTTCCCTTCAAAGTCAACTAACAAAAAACACATTTTTTTTCCTATGGCCACTGGGCATCCGAGAGATGGCATGCCGCAACTCATGGCATGGTTTTGCATCCCATCCCGGGTAACCCCTGGATATCTCCATGTATGGTTTCATTTTGCCATTTGTCACCTACCGCTTTTGGGGGGGGGGGGTTGGGATTGGTGAAGCAACAGGGGTCAGAAAGACATTGCAAACCACTGTTATGATACTGATACTCTCAACAAACATGCCAGGTCAGCCTTGCAGGTATTTGTTTGTCTCTCCGGCGCATGTTATTTTGTGGTGGCGCCCTCGGCTACTCCAGGTTCAAATGGAAGAAAACAGCAATTTTCAATCTTTGGCTCAAATGGTTAGTTCTTCTCCCCTTCCCAGCAAGGGATTTTTACTTTGACAGGGCCAACGCCAGCCCCACATCCAGGCCTAGTTCAGCCTAAATTCCGGACAACTGCTCCATGCTGCTCCAGGTGTCATGGGAGTGACTGTCTCCTGAGCTGTCGATGGTCTCTGCACTCATGAATTTGTGCTGTGCACGCGTAGCAATCTTGATCCACTGCCTTTGCAGGAATGATAGTCAGAGTAGGGCGCGAAACAAGCTGTTTCCAGAACTGAATAATCACGTTTGGTCCGCTTTTGCAAGCCAGGAGCCCTTCATGCACCAAGAAAGCATGCAGGGTTAGGCAGCAACTTCTACCTTGCCCAATGCAATGGTCAAAATAATTTCTGGTTGTTTGGGGCTTTGTAGACTACAGGGGATTCTGCGGGAAGGGCCATGGCGGCGGTTTGCTCATGTGTCCCGAATCATATCCCGCGAGGCGCATGCAGCGCAGCTGAAGGAGAAAGCAGAGAACTGCCACTCAGAGAACTGCTGGATTCGGAGGGAGAACTCTTGGCTTTGTTGTTTTGAGGGGACATCCAAAGTAAATAGTTTCCCTGTTGTTGCGCTCTTAAACAACCCCAAAAGGGTACGCTGATGGCAATGCCTGCGGCCTTGTGGCGGATTGACGCCTTCCAAATAGGCTTCGCCGATATGGACTGGTAAGTGTTGCCGGAGAGAGTTGGTTCAGGGTTGGCTCAGGGCCTGTTTGGAGTTGGTGTTGGGCTGGATTGGGAAGGATTGACTCGATTGGTTTGTGAAGGAAGTATAGTGTAGGCTGGCATTGCAGCTAGTGTATGATCATCAGCCTTGGCTTGCATGAGAGTTGGAGTAGAGTTGAGCCTGCTGATGTGGGGAGTGTTGCGGGCGGGTTATTTCCAGGGGTCCTGGGATGCCGTCTCTGCGGCAGTTACTGAAATTCTCCTGACTTTGTAGGGCTGGCTTTCCAAGAATCTTTGCTCAGACTTGATCGTTTGGTCAGCAGAATGGCGCTTGGTTTTGGGATTCCTTCCTCTCCCGGTCAGCGTGAACGGAAGACCGTGCAGAGAATGAGCGGACATTAAGTACTTCCTCTTCAAAGAAGCGAAGCTATAGACGCTAGGGACTTGTGTATCATTGGTCTGTGATAGATGTCATGCCATTGACTTGCACAGAGTTTGCCTGAATCATGACGGTTTCGGGAATGTGAGCACGAGAAGGCTATAGGAGAAGGCTACTGTGAAGCGGCTTTGGGACTCTCACTTCAGTCGGAGATCGCTTGAACCAGAGATCATGGTGCCTTTGACTCGGTTGTCTAAAGCCGACCTTTTGGACGTTTTAGTCCCTTTGTTGGCCCATGGTTAGTCGTGACCCCAAAAGTTTAGCCTTCTACTTCTTTCAGTTGGGCACTGTCGAACTGAGTCTGCGACAGCCGGCCCATTTTTATTTTTCATGGCTAAGGCATGGATACCGTGAAGGTGTATGAGCGCTGCAACATCCAGGTGGGGAACTTGGTCAACATGCTGGCGCATCACATGTACAGTAACAGGCTACAATATGTACATACGCATATTGAGACATGTATGTACATATATATATATATATGTATACATAGGCAATCAAACAATGTGCACAAAAAGACGCAACACCTGACTGGAGCGCATTCAATCACTGTTGCCAACGGCAGCGCTCCGGCCTCGTGGCCAAGTGACAAACGCCAACACGATTTCTGACCAAGCCGCAAGCATTGTGCTTCAGCACGGGACAGCTGTTTCTCCACTTCTGCACATCCATGAAGTGTTGTCAACACCAAGATCTCCCATTTGCAAAATTGTAGGGGATGTGAATGAAGCTTATCTCCCATTTGCAATCTGGACCTGTCTCCAACTAGGGTACCCTGGGATGGCAAGGTGAAACCAACGGGAGGCCAACAGGAATCCCAAGCTCGGAGGTGGCGGAGTGCCTTCGCCAGCTTGGCCAGTGTCTGCGGCGGCTGCAGCACACCCGCCGCTCAGATTCGCCTTGGGGCAGTGCTTAGTTTTTCCGGTTTGGAGTAAACATAAATCAAACATCATGGAGATTCCCTGATTCTGAACCAAAGATGTTTGTTTGAGGGATGTGATTGACTCCACGGACCATTTCATGACGGCTTCTGCTCCCAAATGAAGCTACGAATCGCAGGCCGAGTCGCTTTCCTTTCATCGGTGACTCTTGAAGCATCCATTTTGCAGGGACGTAGGAAGGTCCAGAGTTGAGCTTAGTTGGGCGTGGATAAAATAGTTGATTTGCCAGCATGGTTGAGCAAACTTGTTTCGTTCTTCCAAGCTGGGTACTTTGTGGACTCGTGGTGACTGCGCCTTGCTTCTTTACAGTAAGTTGGGGCTGTATGTTTGCTTAGGTGTTTGACAGCTTCTTGAACTGTGAATGGAGCTACAAGTGTTTTCGAACTGAAACGTGCGCAGTGGTGTGCAACAAATGAGCTGTCAGCTTGGACTGGTGCTTTGAGTCTTCGCCCAAGGCTATGCGCAGTTCGCTGATCTCAAGGTGCAGATCCGCCTGTCGTGGTCGACGGAAGATGATGTTAGGAACCTTGGGGACTGATCAGCGCCCGTTGATAAACAAGTACAGGGTATTTGCCTTGGTGTAGTTTTAGCCAGTGGAAGGCGCTCGGTGAAAACCGGTGTTTGCCTTCTTTCTTTGTGCCGCGTTTGGTTTAGCTTCGCCATGCTGGCACCGACTTGATCAGGCCTCCCTGTTTTGTTTGCAAATAAGCACCATGGCTTGACATGTAACCGGCATGCTCGATTGCCGCTGGTCGATCCGGACCCCCCCTTTTCGGCCATGGCCATATTGGAATGTTTGATATAATGCTGGCATAGTGCATATTTACAATTCCAGGTTCAGCATGTTGTGGTCAGGTGTGTCAGCAGCGCCTCTCCTTGCGGTCTAAAGCTCCCGAGCAGGACGGACATGGGATTCCCGTCGTGTACGATTTGTCGTCAGTACTGGGGTACGGCATCAACTCTGGACATTTGGCTTTCCAGGTCAACACGCTTGGCCAGGGCGCAGAGAATTTCACGCATCATGCTCATCTTATGAGAATGCATGGTTTATGGTTTGCAAGTACCTGATGAGCTCAATGACATGTTGGCCAGCTCTAGATACTGGCAGCAAACGAGATAACATGGCTTGACACACAAACACACACACACACACACACACACACACACCCACCCACCCACCCACCCCCACCCCCACCCACCCACCCACCCACCCACCCACCACCCACCACGCACGCACGCACGCACGCACGCACGCACGCACGCACGCACGCACGCACGCACGCACGCACGCACGCACGCACGCACGCACGCACGCACGCACGCACGCACGCACGCACGCACGCACGCACGCACGCACGCACGCACGCACGCACGCACGCACGCACGCACGCACGCACGCACGCACGCACGCACGCACGCACGCACGCACGCACGCACGCACGCACGCACGCACGCACGCACGCACGCACGCACGCACGCACGCACGCACACGCACGCACGCACGCACGCACGCACGCACGCACGCACGCACGCACGCACGCACGCACGCACGCACGCACGCACGCACGCACGCACGCACGCACGCACGCACGCGCGCACACACACACACACATCACAAGAAGAGGCTCCACAATGATACTTTCGCATAGCTCCACAATCCTCTATAGTTTGGCTCGCTTCCTACAGTGGTTGAGACGCCTAAAAATGGTGTTCCAACCGAGACGGCGTTTGGATTTGGGGGATATAGCAAACTTGCTGCAACACAGCAAAACAACCTGTTGCGAATGCAATGCATGATGTTTGCTAAGTGTGCCACACAAGCTGCTGCCAAGATCGGACGTTAGTTAATCTTGTGGTGACTAAGGTCCTTCAATGATATGGCTGTGCATGAGCAAGTGTGCAACTAAGCAATATTTAAGTATTCCATTTCATACATATTGACACCATCATGAAAGTGCCCTGGAAAAGTACCATTTGCCCAATTTGTTCCTCTGAGTTTTGTCGTGTTCTGATCCACAAGGGTCCAAGTACCATACATGAGGTACCTCAACCCCTTACCCCCCAAAACCCATCCTCAATAGGACCCTCTGGGTGAGGGCCGGTTCCCAGACTGCTCGGGATAGGAGCTGACGGGGGACATGGCGCAGCACGCGCTGGAGGAGCAGGAGACGTGCATCGGCCAGCGGCCCAAAAGGAATCGAACGAAATCCGGCGGATCCCAGAAAGTCCTTTAGGCCTCGGTTTCCCTTTTCAACTTGGAGGGCTTTGAAGGTGTTTCTTTGGCGGGAAAAGGGCTAAAGGGGCGCCAAAAGGAACTCTTTCAGTTGGCATTTGAGGAGACAAACCCAGACAAAACCTACTATGATATCTACCACCTGAAGACTTGCCAAACTATGATCTACTCTTGTTCGTCAGCCATGAATGTGGACAGGAGGCCATTCGAAAACGGATATTCTTCTTAGGGTTTCCTTTACCCCACTAGTCCCTCACCCGGCTGCCTTCGTGAATCCAAGGCGAGGCACGCGAGCATCTTCTCAGTCTCGAGGGCGAGACTCGGCGGGCCCTGAAGATGATTGATGAGCCAGGGCCCGAGTCGGCGTACCTGGCGAGTAGCCAGAAGCCCCGAAAGGTTTACCTTCTACGTACCGGGCGAGTTCTAGGCGAAACGGGAGCAGACAAGCACCGCGTCCAAGGCTTGCAAAGCTTTTAAGAAGCCTTGAGTCGTCAAGATCTTGGACCTAGCGAGAGGCAACTGCCTGGCGATTCAAAACGATTTTTGTTGCACATGGAGCACAATGATTCAGCAGCTGGGAAGAGGCGTCACGAGCACCGGTACCCAAAATTGAGCAGACGACACCAAACTTTGGAATGTGTACATCGTTCTTTTCAGAACTGCTGATCAAAGGTCAGCACATTCCAACGGGGAAGCCTACGATGTAATTGATCTTTTGTTCCCCTGCCTGAAACATGCTAATCCTTGTTCCAGATCGCCGCAGGTAGCGAACATATGCGAACATGCAGCACTTCCAGATTCAGATAGACTGGCGGATGGAAAGCTTGAGGGCAGGGTGCTGGATGCCAACAGTTGTGCTCAGACTTGACAAGTTTCACCTGGCGCTTGGCTGCCCATACTCCTGTGTGCCATTCCCTCCACAATTAGCTACCCGTCATCACAACAATAAATCAGGTGCACCCTGGTTGTGGCTGCATCGGTCAGGATATGATTGTGCAACTGGCACACCCAAATTCTAAGAAACCAGCTACGGAAAATGCTACCCTGTTTGGGTGAGATTTGGCTAACTTTGCGCAGTTTTCCTGTTGCTGGTTTCCATGACATGAATCCTCATGTTGAGGAGGGCAGTGTAATCTGCTGCTTGTTGCACTGTGCCGGATCCTTTGTTATCCCGTCAAGAACCCCCTCTGTGTTTGTGAGGCTTCGCAACGAGCTCTCCAAGGATCGGGTTCTTAAATGCGGGCCTGGGCGTGATGCTGCAAGACTTTTATTTACTTGCCGAGCTTGGCTGAAGCTACGAGCTTGGAATCAGGCTTTGTAAGATCATCATTTCATTCTAAGTGAGCCGGGACCGCAGCCCGCTGGGTGTGTAATGGGGCTGCAAGCTCTGAGAGATTGCCCGGCATGGAAGAGTCTAGTTTCAGAAAGACGAGGCTTCTTTTGTAGTCATGTTGCAATCAACAGGCAGCCCTTCCCTGTCCTACCTTGTGACCAGTATTCAGTTTTGATGGAAATCGCAGTTGATGCTGAGATCCGGAGACCGAGCGTCGTTTTGCTTGGAACCCCTAATTGTTCCATTCCTTCAGCACGACACATGCGTGTTGAAACATGTTGCCTAGGCCAGTGCTTCCACTGAGTGAAGCCTTCAAGATGGCCGGCTTCAAAAGTTCATCCGTGGCATCCAGCCAAACTGTTGCCGCTTCTGCAAGACCATTCCATCATGGGCTCAGGTAGGGGATTTGGGACAGGTTGGCTGACTCTCCTTTCACCCTTCAACTCGTCAGGACGCTGCCAGCCAACGCCATGTTGCAGATCGGTGTCGTCAAACAGTGGCCGTGCTGATGTGCCCGACTGCGGAAGCGCCAGAAGGAGCCTTGACAAACATTTGCTTTGCGATTTGCAGGCCTTGGGCTAAGGAGACTGATCTAATGGGTCTGTCTTAAGAACGGTGCAACGGACAAAGGCGATTTGGGTTCGCTTGAGACGGTTGCTTACGATGCGGGTGTTGTGCTTGGGAGTGCTTGATCCATTGTGATGGATATACATTCAAGGCAACGGAAGCCCGAGTTCACTCAAAGAGATATATCTTGCGTTTCGAGAGGAAGCATGTGTTCGTAACCGGGTGTGTTTCACACTGTGGATTGCTAGTATGCTTTGCCAAGTTGAGCAGACATCACCCAGGAATCTAGATCCAGTTGGTTTGTTTCTTGACTGGATGAGTCTTTTTTGGCTGTAGCTGCCAGTTGCACTTGGATTCTTGCCATCTGATAGTATGACCATCCTGAAATCAACTCACGCATAGACAGCACCAGCGGAATGCGGTTGGTTCCCAATCAGGCATATCTCCTCGATCTTGAGCCCGGGAACTCCTGTTGTGCCTTCCAGCAATGTGTCAATCAGCATCTTTCACTGGCAATGTTGCTTGGAACACAAAGGGCACCCTTCCAGCCGCCAGTCCAATTAGCTTTGGCAACAAACAAGACCTATAACAAGGGCTCGTATGCATGTAGCGGCAGGAATAATGTGGTCTTCCAGCTGGTGGGACGAAGATCTTTGACATCAGCAAGTTTCCCCTCCATTGTTTGTCTTGGTTTGCTGCCTGTACCCATCCTGTAAAAACATGCTCGCAAACATTATGGGCACCAGACTCACCGATCCAGTCATCATTTGGTGTCGCCATTCGCTATTCAGAGGGCTTAGGCAAGAATTCTCTCATCCAGGCCCTGAAGGGAAACTACGAATCATCTCCGAACCCGACATCCAATGGGGCAAACCTAAGGGCCAGACTCCAAGTCGCATGAAACGCCTGACGCCCATCCGAATCGCTTTGAGCTCCCGTCAGACAACTGGCAGCCTGAGCCCCGGGCGGACCTGCAGAAGCGCGCCGACTTCCTGCTGACGGCGGCACGGGATCTCATAGCCCGTAGCCCGGGTGGCCCAGACGTTGAAGGCTTAACGACAGCGACCGGGGATCAATTTTTGGATGAAGCCAAGTGAAAGAGAAACAGAGAGAGAGAGAGAGAGCAAGCACATCAGGGTCGAGCAACTAATATTTAGCACAATTTTGCCGAATGGTCCAGTGGTTCGCAGCAATGGCTATGAGTTGGTGCAAGTTGCGTGTATGAGACAATATTGGGCTAAATGAGGTGGTGACAAGATGTGACAAGTCAACACGACCTTGTAGCTTCACTTGGCAATCATCCAGTGTGTCTTTGTCTTGGCTTGTCGTTGCTGGCAGTACTAGGCTGTGGAGGTGGCAGTGTTGGTTCGCTTGTCCATCCCTTCATTGGTTCTCTTTCGTTTGTTTGTTGGTTCTTTTGTTTCTTGGTTTGGTTGTTTTGGTTGTTTGGCTTGGCTTGGTTTAAGATAGCTTGTTTTGGTTTGTCTAATTGTTGTTTTATTATTTCATTTTGTGCCCTTTTGTTTTTTGCTTGTTTGCTTGTTTGCTTGGTTGTCCGGCCGGCCGGCCGGCCGGCCGGCTGTCTGTGTGTCTGTCTGTGTGCCTGCCCGTGTGTACTGTTTGTGTGTTTGTGTACTGTTTGTGTGTTTGCCTGCCTGCTCGCTTGCTTGCTTGCTCGCTCGCTTGCTTGCTTGTTCTTTAATTTGTTTGCTTGCTGTTTGTGTCTGTCTGTTTGTTTGTTTGTTTGTTTGTTTGGTTGGGTGTTTTTGTTTGCGTGTGCGTCTATTTGATTGTATGTTGTTGGTCCGTGTTAGTTAGTTAGTTAGTTTGTTTGTTTGTTTGTTTGTTTGTTTGTTTGATTGTTATATGTTTTGTTTGTTTGGTTGCTTGCTTGCTTGCTTGCTTGCTTGTCTGTCGGTTTGTTTATTTGTTTGTTTATTTATTTGTTTGTTTGTTTGTTAGTCTGTTAGTTAGTCTGTTAGTCAGTTAGTTTGTTTGTTTGTTTGTTTGGTTATTTGTTTGTTTGTTTGTTTGATTGATTGTTTGTTTGTGTGTTTGCTTGTTTGTTTGTTTGTGTGTTTGTTTGTGTGTTTGTTAGTTAGTTTGTTTGTTTGTTTGTTTGTTTGTTTGTTTGTTTGTTTGTTTGTTTGTTTGGGTGTGTTTGTGTTTTTGTTTGTTGGCTTGATTGATTGTTTGTGTGTTTGTGTGTTTGTTCGTGTGTGTGTGTGTGCTTTTGGTGTTCAGTGCCATTGCTTTGTTTCTCTCACGAGTGCTTGCCCTTGCATTCGCCGAAATGTAACAGGGCATATGAGGGCCTGCCTCCAGGATTTTGAGAAGTGTACGGCTGAATCTTGAGAGATGTGTGTATTTCTGCCAGTGCTTTGAACCTATAGACAGTTTCAATGTTGAAGCCGCAAAAACAGCACACTCACCGCATGCTGGATGTAGGGCTACCAGTCGTGAAACCAGCAGATACCGTCTTTCTGACGGAGACCATCCCTCAGCGGTTTCACTAGGATTACTGCGTTGCACGAAATTGCAATGACTGGCCTTGAGCAAGGCTTGAACTGGATATATGCTATATACAAGGCAACCAACTGATAGGGAGCCTGCATGGCTTAAGCAGAGGCTGGACGGACTTTTGGGAAATGCTACAAGATTAAACAAGGTGCGTACCATTGCGCTGCAAATCATTTTGCGGTGAAGACACGCACATCATACTGTCGATCCTCGACCTCGAGTTGACTTTTTTGCAAGGACCACCAGCAAGGCCTAGCACACCAGACTGCGTCCGGCAGGCATTCCGAAAGGTTCATGTTCCTGGTGGAGTCCTGGATTGCCCTGCTCGCATCCTGTGGCTGTTCTCTATCGGGCCGGGCCTTTATTGCTTGACTCAAGCCCACACGTGCATATCTTTGGGCTGACCGTAGACAAGATGTAACAATGTAAGACATGGCTTCCATCGCGGTGAGCTGAGTTCGTGGCATCAGAAGCCCTGAGGCTCGAGCGCCTGCAGGGCCACGGATGAGCGGTGCAAGGCAGCGCGCCAGAAGGCGGAGCTGCTGTTGGAGAGGAGGCCTCCAGAAGCGCTGCGTTCGGGGTGTTTGCTAAGCGAGGCAAGCAGAGTCCAAGAGGGGCTTTGTCTTTGTCTCTGGGAGGGTCTGGCGGTGAAAACTTGTGTATGTGCGGGGTCTCTTTTGAGATGCGAACCTGCTCAAAGTCTCAAAGTCCACTCTCGACGGCATACAAATCCCTGGTGGGCTCGCATCACGTAGGATATCAAGGCAATTGTTTGCAATGGGCAACGGGAGTTGGAATGATGTGCGCAGACTATGCCGTCCGATAGTCTTAGCCTCTTAAGACTCATGCCTTAACTATATGATTGGCAAACAAGGAGCAAGCGTTGTGCACAATCGGGGTACCTTCCCCAGCTGTATAAAGCACGATACCGAAGCGGGATGTTGAGGAGACAGGAAATCAACTGTCGCAGCCCGCTTGTTGATTATCGATGTTTTTTGTTTTATTGTTCAAAGCTTAGATTGTGTTATGTTGATGTGCTTTGTTTGCGTGTCTATCCTTGACAGCTGTTTTGAATTGGAACCAGCCAAGTGAATGATTGCACACTCGCGATTGTTGCCCAGCTGTCAAATGTTTCGTTTAAGCAAACAGAACACGAGCACACGCACGCAGCCAGTCGGAACATAGTGCCAGGTCTGGCCAAGGTCCGAAGCCGAAGGTTTTGTGGCCGAGTGCAGCTCCGGCCGAATTCAGGTTGCTGGACACCGAGAAGGCTGCCAAGCAGCTGCGGGAGCAGGCCTCTGAGGCAGGATGGCCCGCTTGGCTGGCGAGGGTGTGACCCCCGGCTCCAGACAGAACTTTTGGTTTTACAAATACGGGGCATGTCCACACCTACCAAAGATGATCCATCTCTTGATTGTTCGGGGAGAGAGTACCCCAGTTAGGCTTCCCCTTGCTCCAAAACTGCAGCGTACCGACAGGATGGCTTCTGGCTGCTACTCCTTCTGAGGTTTTGGGTGAAGGTGCATGCAACTCACATCGCAAGGGTTGGGAGAGTGATCTGATTCAGTCAGGCCACCAGTTCATGAGTTGCAAGATGAATGACATGACGTGTGGGGGCGCGGGCTTGACTGAGATGTGAAGCCCGAAAAAACAAATCAATGTGGAATTAAATTTGACAGTGTTGAATTGAGCAAACCGCAAATGTGTAGCTCAAAAAGGAGTGATTGCATTGATAGATGCTCAGACTTGGCAACTGGCGTACTGATTGCAGGCTGGTGCCCCTTGTTGCCTTATTGGTTCTCGACGTACATCTTGTTTATGTGAGAAAGCCCTGATCTGTGAGTGAGTTGGTAAGCCGAGATTGAGATGCCTTTTGACAAAAAAGCTCTTGCCAAGTGACCTTGCAGTGACACAAGGGGAGAAGGGAGCCACTGACACCAATACGAGCAAGTACATAGGGAAGTCAAGTATTGTTCAGGTAGGTTGTGCGGGGGCTAGGTAGCTTTATTTGCTTGTCGCACTCCATTGTCATGCTGGTTTTACGCCAGAAGCCTCATCCTGCTTTTTGTTCAGGCCCGGAGGACGCGGAACACAGGCACAGTTCAGTTCGTATGGGAGTTTGTCACAATGTGGAGGTCCCCTAAAACGGTTGGTCCGTTAAAACCAACCAAAGGGAGTCCAGATCCCACCGTCGCGGTTCCGCAGGTGGACTACACCATCGCTGTGGCTGAGAGGTCCCTGGCAAGGAGCGTGAAGCGCTGCATGGGCAAGGAGAACCTCATGAAGGCACCACTGGGTGTGTCTTTTTTTTGAGGGTACCCCTTTTTTTGGTGGTGTTAAAGTAAAATCATGAGGATAATCACCATGTTGAGGGGGTCCAACCTTGACGTTGAAAAAGACATGGAATTGGCCCATGTTGTTTAACTGTGGCAGGGCTCCCCATGTTTCCTCCAACATACCCCACAAAAGACAGCTACAATTGGTTCAACAAGCATTGCTTAAACTGGCTCAAAAGGGAAATATAGGGATTTTGTGCGGCCGAAGGCACTTCATTTGAGCACTGTCCAAATTGGCTTGCGAATGCTGGATTGTACTCCTTTCTCACCTGCAACCTGGGAAGGCACTCATGTTCCTCTTGAAAGGGCCTTCAGGTTCTGTTCCGATGGGAGGGCAGCGAATGAGCGGAAACATGTGCACTGGACAAAGAGAGCGCCATGATGTGCCATGCATGCATAGCACACGTACACAAACTAATATGTACGTGTGTACATCCGGGCACACAGGTACATACTACGTGGTGCATATGCACACCCATCCATATATGCAAACATGCATGCATACATACAGACACAGACAGACACGGAGGCAGACTGACAGACCGGCAGGCAGGCAGGCAAGCATGCAGGCAGCTATACAGACAGAAAGACGCACAGTCAGGCAGGTAGACAGGCAGACTGACATCCGTCCTTGATACATAGACAACATTACATTACATTGCTGTTGCATTTATATTACATTGTAGTGCATTACAGCGCATTCCATGCCATTTCATTCCATATAATTCCATTACATTACATCACATTACAGTAGACTACATTACACAAGGCACACACATGTTATTGTCACATTATGTGAGTGTGGTGCAGAACAAACGTGAACTGTATGCTGTTTGGCACGCTGGATGTTGTCGAGTCGGCAAGTTGCGCCTATGTACCGAGCTTTGCCAGAATTCACCGCAGTCGCCCATTGCAACTCATTAATCCGATTATGGAGCAAATGCCAACTTGTTGTATTCGTTTGTTGTGGCCGCAATAAGGGAAGTCTAGGCAATGCAAAGACAGTTTTTGTAGCCCTTGACCTGTACATTATTGTTTGTCCGGTGGACATTTGTTGTCATGCCCTCACACGTGCACGTTTGCCATTGCCTGGCTGATCTTGAGCTGGCTGCTTGACAACTCAAGCAGAGCTAGAAAGTTCCGCTGGTCAGCCACTAGCATGGTGGTGCGGCCCGTGGATTTCATTGACTCGCATAGGTCAACACGATGGTATCTTGGGACCTGCAGCCTTTTGCGCCATGGTCGGTTCTATCCCACGACATCTACTCGTACTGGTTTTGTAGGTGTGCATGGGGCATGGGCCGAGAGACTCAGCATTTGCCAACCTGCAGGCAGCTCAGCTGGATCGCACGAGGAGACGGGATGGGGTCCTGGTGCGAGATGTGTGTGGAGCCAGCAGCTCCTTTCATTGGGGGACCTGAAACAAGGTAGTGCAGGACGGCTGTGGGTCTAACTTCTTGCGCGCGGGTGTGTGTGTGTGTGTGTATGTAAGTGTGTGTGTATGTAAGTGTGTGTGTTTGTGTGTTTGGCCCGTTGACAGGCATTGTTGTGTTTGCATGGAGACAGTTTGGCTTTTGCAAAGGGCAGATTCATTCCGAGGGGTTGGGCATGCAAGAGCGTTTCGAGACTACATAAACCGATGAGGCAAGCAAGCAAGTTGCCAATTTGGGCGACTCCACGCGATGGCTGAGAAATGCTTTATGTTTTGCACGCGGCGTTGAAGCTTTCCGAGCGAATGATATGCCAGCATGCGGGGTTATGTTTGTTTCATGCAGAGGCAGGACCGGAGAGTTCAGAGCTTCACTCCAGCCATTTGAGACATAGCATTCTGCGAAGATGAATGTATGAAGGCCGCACATCGCCATGAGCTTCGCCCCATTGGCTCAGTCAGCCGATTCTGCTCGCTTTCAATCGGCGCGATACGCGTAGGAAACCAAAGGCACCACATGTGTCTCTGCGGGTGGCAGTCTGTCGAACATGGAGAGCTTGAGTGAGACTTTCCTGGAAACGTATTTCATTGCTCTTCGAATAGGGATACTTCTGAGCACTTGTTTGCAGCTCACCATGTCTTTACTGCAACTAAGTTTCATGTCTTGTGCGAAGGCAGAAGCTGGATCATTTGTGCAAGACTCGAACGGCAGCGACCTCAGGAAACGCAGACAGAGACACATGCAAGCTGAAACAGTTTGGAAAGGCTTTACAGCCGTATGTCAAGCTGAGCCAACAAGTTGCTGCACGCTTGTGTTTAGTGGTATTTTGGTTTGACGAGTTGATGGGCAAAGACCTGCGGCGCATTATGGCGGGACTGCCGGGCAAACAAAGGTTGTGGATTGTGTCGTGTGAAGCCCAGGCAATCAAGCTGCACATACAGGACAAGCTCAAGATGCAAACCATCGATGCGTCAGGACCCCAGACAATTCGAAACATTCAGTGTTTGGGGGCACCATGCTTTTAATCAATCGATTATTGACATATTAGGTGCAAGAAACCTACTCACACAACACATATAAGGGGCCATTGTGCTGTTTTAGGAGATGCTTGCCAGCATGTACCCAACTGTCAGTAAGCTTGTCATGATTTGGTCTGGAGACCTGCAGCATGTCAGTTCTTCCGCTTCAGCTCTGGTGCTTGCAGGCAACGGAACATCGTCAATCATGCGTGTTAGCTGTGAAGATCCACTAGTGACTAGTGGTTTGCATAGTTCATTGTGTCCAAGGCTGCTTCGCTGGTCAACTCATTCTAGGTTGGGCACTGAACCAATTGCCGTAGGGATGAACCATGGCGCCGAAGCGCCTAGGTCCTGTCGCAAAGCACCGTCCTCAGCTCCTGAGCGAGAAGCTCCACTGCAGCGGCAATCGAACAGGCCAACTGGTCATACAGGGGAAACCATAGGGGAAATCATAGGGGAAACAACAGGGGCGATCCATTCATAGGCAACTTGTGTTGTTCAATCGGTTTGGCTTGAGTTTCGGCACAGGCAACAAGAAAACTTGTTGAGAATTCAGGCTATGCGGCGGGCATGCGCGCAACTCACATGTCCCAACATGTCCCAGCAGAAAGGGCTAGCTTCAAGCTGTTGGCACCAGCATCAGCAGTGTTGTAGTATGATGTGGTGAAATATAGTTTGGTTGACATTGATGATTTGCATAACACACAGCAGCACTTTTTTGTTCTATCGATGTTTGCAATTGTGCAAGGGAGTTCATAGGTAGCAGCAATTGCCTTGTTTTGTACCATCCAAAGATATTGTTTGCGATTTATGATTTATCCAAGGAGCTGCCCAATGCTGTCCTACGATTCATAAGGTGCACGTCCAAAGTTTCTGGGATAACCTCGCAGCTGGCAAATCTGTTGTCTTTTGCAAAATTGCTCATCAATTCTTGATATGTCTGAGTGGCAGACTGATTTTTACCTTGCCATACATTGTGTGACAAGGCTCTTTGATTCAGAATACAAGCTGAGATTTGAGGCGTTTTCAGTATTGACAGCCCGGTGTCCGCTCTGAGGTCACCTCCCAGTCGGCGAGCCGCCCCGCCACCGCGGGGCGCTCCTTTTCGGAGTCGGCCTTGAGACGCTTGACTGCAGTGCCACGACTTGTGAACATACTGTGGATGGACGAAGTCCATTTTGCACCACTTTGGAACCATTGTTTGTTGAAATTTGTAGAGGAATCATCATTCCGAGCAAAGTCATGCACGATAACTCTCAGCGTATCCAACTTGAAGCAGGTTGCAACCGCTACAAAAGTTCAAAAGGTTCGTCGGGGCAAGCCAGGGTCAAGCTTGCGTTCTTGTCTCTTTGGATCCCTTGCGGCGAGGCTATCAGAGGCACTTTGGCACTTCAGCTCTCAGTCCCATCTGCTTCTGCTCATATCAGGTGCCATAGTTTCAAGGCCTTACTGGGGGCTACTAGCGTTCGGTGGTCTGGCAATCAGGTAGAATGATTTCTCTTGCGGAACTCATGGCCATGGCCACTCAGGACAGCGCCCGACTGAGGAGGATCCGAGGACAGGTTCCGCTCCGCTGTGGACAGTTTCGAAACAAGAGCAAAGTGCCCACTTTGCAGGAGTGTTGTGAGGCTGGCACGTAGGTCTTCTCAGGGCGTGTGCAGATCTGAGAGTATGTGTACTCTTGAAGGAGCAGCACAGGAAGCGTCATATTGGATAAGGGTTCTGTTTGTTTTACTACCAGAGCAGGCGTACTGCAATCTTGGTGGATTCCTGTGATGTTGGCCTGGGTTAATCAGATATCCAGCCGGATTGTGATGCCTCCGAGCAATGAGTATGAGTTCCCTCTTGTTCAAGAATGGTAATGATTATGAGTATGAGTTCCCTCTTGTTGAAGGACGCTGTTGCAAGGAGCAGCAGAGAATGATCAAGCTAAAGAGATTTCACCGCCTTTGTTGCAGGATCACATCCCAGCTTCTTCGTTTTTTCTCTTGGGAGTGCTGACATGGAAAGTCCCGCAGTTTACTTTGGCCCCTAACTGCTTGCTGGAACACATCTCGCGTCACTGAGTGCTCAATTGCGGATATGGCTGCGCTAGAGCTAGAGGACTTGCAACGTATTCGAGGCAATGTCTGGCCTGGCTTCTTGTGATGGACTGAAGGCAGCTTTGAAAGCCCTGCCCTCAGGGCATATGTTGGCATCGTCTGGGAGGAGTTTGCAGAAAAACCAACCCTTTTGTAGGCTACAATTCGCAACCTTGCGCCGCATGGCACATGGGCTTCCCAATATCCTTTCGCACGGAACAGATATGCTTGGCCTGAGGACTAAATATGCCGTATAGCTTGGACCAGAAGCAGTCTGACAAGGCAACAGTGCCTTGTAGGTTGTTGTCGATTCTATATTGGCAATATGGTTCTTGGCAACAGTAATTCGTAATGAAGTATCACTCTTGAGTTGACGTTTCGTGGTTGGGCGGTACACTCTTCATTTTCAATCAGCGGCCCTTGGCAGAGCTGGGTCTTGGATCCAGGACTTTGCCCCGCTTGGACAGCGAGTCTGGCGCAAGGCTCGGGGCAGGTGGAGGCAGGCCATTTTACCTACCCCTGCTTGTAGGGTGCTCTTTGAGCATCTAGGTTTCCGGTTGTGGTTTGTAGGGTATTTGTTTTTGGATTTAGGGTACGTAGGCAGTAGGGATTCAGAGTTGAGGTTCACAGTTTTGGGCTTTTGCCTACAGTTCAGGTTTTGAGGGGCTCGTGGAAGTGGGAATGGGCTCCATGCGGCTAGTGCTCGTTTGCCTCGAGGCCAACTCATGCGATTTGAGCCATTGCTGTCCCGCTCAGCCGATTGCATCAACTGATACAGTTGGTAAGCACTTGTCGCAAGCCAGCTTTTGATTGCGGCAGTCTTGGGCCCTACATCCCTGATCAAAAACCAGGCATGTGCATCAATTGCAGTTAGTGAATTGATCGACTGGTCTTGTTTTGACAAAGTGGAGTCCTAAGCCAAGGCCGTGATTCATTGTTTTGCCATTCATCGGGCTGTTTGCTATACTTTTTGCAGGGCGAGCCCCGGGCGAGCTGCGAATGGCTGCTCACAATGTCAGCATTGGATGCGACTGCACTGTTGCGCCAGGAATCGGCCCAAATCTGCTGCAACCTACAAGAGCGGCAACTGAGTTGACCACTCGGGAATGCCTCCCATTGCCACGGCAGTCAGGTGGTCATCAAGATGTTGGTTTGGATACGCAGGTATCTTTTGAGATTGTGCACTGTAAGTGTGTCATGTTTACGTTTGTCGGCCTAAGTTTATTGGCTTGCATGTATAGGATCTGCCTGTGGCAAAACGTCACAATGCAAAGCAGTGCCACACCATTTTTCGCCTGCAGATGCAATCAATCTGGGAGAGATCACCATGTTAAACGTGTTTTTTGAGCATTTGCCCGGCGCTGCATGCAGAGGCAGCTCTCACAGGCAGGCCAGTGTGCAACGGTTTCACCTTTGAGCCAATTTGTGTTCACAGTAGAAATTGCTTTGGTGATATCAAGTAAAATGGCTATTTGACCTAGGTTGCAGGGACGTCATAATGGATTAAGGAGTTGGAACCCGCCCCTCGGCACGGTTGGTTTAGCTAGTGGTGTCCTGACACAATATCAAGGCAGAAACCGAATGCAAAGCATGTCAAGCGTTATTTTATCATCCAAAATAAGTGTTTGCCACTGTTCATGTTGCATGCACGTGGTTGTCCTCATGCCAAGGATCTGGATTGCGTGCACCTTGGCAAAGCCAAGCGTAAGCACATTTGCAAGAGCCGCACATGCAAAAACAGCGCTTTCCATTGTTGACACTTGCTCAAGGCTTCAAGCTGTGGATGGAGACAGATGTCACTGCTGACAGATGTGTATAGCTGCCGATGTGCTGTTTTCCTCCACCTGTTGCTCCCTTCCTGTCCGTCCGCCTCGCCGTGTGACATGTTGCTGGTTCTCCTTTTCCTGTTGCTCCTTCGCCTTTCAGCCTTGGCCTCGCCGCTTTTGCTACTGCTACTGCTGAAGAAGCTGCGGCACCGGCTGTGAATGTTTGGCTGTGCGCTTAGGTGTGCTTTACAGAAAGCGGACAAGCCTTGTTCAGACTGGAGCTAGACTGGTTGGGAAGATAGATGTACTGTAATGTCTCATGAGTAGCAGACACCTGGCGAAACTGAAGCCTCCATGATTTGACAATATGTCATCAGGCGCACAGCGCACTTGCAATCCACATTGGAGGCCAGAACAGTCCTCCCCAGTGAGAACTGGTGACTGTGTTTGTATGCACGGCACCAAACCGGAAAAGGTAGTCAGCAGGATGCTAACCCCCGCAGATGATGTCACCAGATTCAGAGCTGCAGAGCGTGTCTAGAGCCCCTGTTGTTGTCACTTGCTGCGGCTGGGAAGGAGGCTATGTTTGTGTCCTGCATCAACGTGGACCATGATATCAACAATATGACAGCGCTCTTTCTCGAAGTTCACATGCTGTGCTTTTGCCCTCGCGAAGGGCTTTCCGCACAGAGGGCATTTGGGACAGACAGTCTGGTCACAGAATTGTAAATTCCATGGCACAATCTATGCAAACAAAAACGTTCAGCGAGGGAGGCCTTAGACAAAGTACCTGAAAGGGGTGGTTCTATTGGAATGATCGGAGTTACATGTTGAGCCTGATAGGTTTGTTGGGAGCTGCGGATTGCAGGACCTTCCAACACTGTAAGGTCCCCTCGGCTTTTGGCTTGCCGCTGCCGGACCCACGAGCACGTCTCCTTAAAGGCCTGGGAGGTTCCTCACACCATCCGCAGCCGCCGTAGGCGCCGAAGAGCTGAGGTTTGTTGCAGTTCTTTGGAGTGGCTTCCCCCGATCTACTTGAGCATGGGCCGTAACTAGAGCTTCTTCGGACATTCTTGTTGGGATGAAGGCTTTTCGGGGGAATGGTTTGCCGAAGCCAGATTCGGCATCAGCCATGCAATACAGCTTGACAAGAGGCAGCATTTCAGGGTTGGTCCAATCCAATCAGCTTGTTTCCAGCGCCTTAAGCTGTAAAAACAAAACAGACAACCAACGCCTGCAGCCGCGATCCAAAGCCGCGAATGCGGCATGCCGCAGCCCGAGAGCAGAGCAGGATGCAAGAAGGGGTTGAGAAGAACCCAAAGCCAAAGCCATTGGAACCCGTAGCACCTCGCAATCGCTGATATTGGTTTGCTGTTGTGTTTGGTTTTTGGATTTCGAGATATTTTTCACTGGGTCTTGATTCTTGACACATTGCCTTTGCTTGTTTTGGCACTGCAACTTGGGACGATTTCAGGTAGAGAGCATTGATTCGGGAAGTCCTTGCCTTGCAGCAGTTGTAACAGCCCAAACCAAAACGCTCTGCAGGCTGGGGTTTGGCTCTTTCACAGTGGACATAGGGGCTTGCAGCGGAAAAGTAAGCAGCTTCCTGTGTGGACCTACGGACACCTTTGTTTTCGAGCCCCAAGGAACTTGTGGGGCGCTGGCAGTGGGCCTCCCAAAACGTTCGCACGTGCGAAGCAATTCAGGGCCAAGGTTGGAGTACTTGTTGAGCAATTCAGTGGTCGTGTCCTGGCAGGGCAAGCGTACTTTAGTTTGTGTAGAACCAGGAGAGTAATTAACTCGAAGGGTCGCCACGACTTTGTATGCAGCTGTTTGCTTTGGATACATCATCTCTTGGAGAAGGACAGTCTAGCAGAATGTTGGAAAACTAGAAGTGACGTGGACAGCTATACTGCAAGTAAGCAGTTCTGCGGAAACCACCCATTGCCTGTTGGCCTGTGTTGTGAGAAAATCCTGACTCAGGATTGCCGGATGACAATTGTGAGTGCTGGCAAGTTTGAACTATTTACCATGTGTCGCCATGCTTGAAGATAGCACGAGTATCATGCATGCTGATGAGAATTGATCGTATGGTAAGATTATACCAAATGTGCTACGCTTGGCAGTAGCTGCTTGCTTCAAACGTAGAAACAGTCTCTCTTTTTAGGCTGAGCCTGAGGGCCTGTCCAGGCTTACTAGCTGCTGGCAAAGATGTGTACGCTTTTCAGTGTTTCAGCAAGAGACGACTGTTTGGAATGATCCTTCTGTTTGCTCTCACTCACTTCCCAGGGCAGAAGATCGCAGAGGCTCAGTGCTGGCCTCAGGTCCAGATGCAAGCGGGTAAACCTCACGAGACGTCTGCCTTGCCGCACTGGGCTGACCCAGATCCATAAACATTTTGCTGTGGGCTCGTTCCAATCCCTTTAAACCAAACAAAACATGGGCCCCCTACAACAAGACACACCCTATGTTGATAGTGCTGTCATGACCAAGCTCGGGGACTGTGCATGACTGCAGGACTAGTGCAGTTGAAGCCAGTACCTAGAAAAGTCACAACGCTTGTGACAGGCGGAATTTTGACTGTGCAAAGATTGGGATTGCAGCAAGACATAGCCACATGCAGCTTCTTCACGTTACCTGCTAGAGCCCTGACAGCGAGCTGTAAAACATTGTTCTGCTGGGGAAAGCCAGCCAAGGCACAGAACAATGCGTGTGACCTCCACGGGTGCGCACGAATACACGCGCGCACACACACACACACATACGCACGCACGCACACGCACCACCCACACACACACATGCGTACACGAACAGAATGCAGTACTTCCTTGTCCTTGGAGACCTTACTTTTCCGGAGGCAGTCAGGCAATGTGGTAACGTGCTGCTTAGGCTGCTGTTTGTCTTGCGCTCTGCAAAATTCCCAAGGTTGCCGTGCCAGAGACCCTAACGCAGACCCATGAGCCGCCGACTCAGATTTGATGAGGCTTGGGTTGTTGCAGCATTGTTTGATGAGGCAGTCGATGTACCAGTCTAAATTGAAGGAACGTTGTGAGGGCGCGCAGCAATACAGCAAAGATTGCAGGGCGGGTTAAGCCTGCAACCTGCTTTGATGTGACGGCCAATGACAGTTGCTGGCATGCAACCTGTTGACTTGCTCGATCATCAGTAGTAGCTTTGTTGGTTTGAGCGCGCTGTTCTTGCCTGTTAAAGATTTTGATATATGTTGCATTTTGCACAACCTGCAGGACAGAATTAGAGGAAAGTGCATTCCTGCAATCAGCGGCACCCCACCGCTGCTCTCGGCGGAAGAGCTTTCTGAGGACTGCGAGGGGCCGAGTGGTGGTACTGCCCCACAGAGCTGGAGCCCCAATCGAAGCTGTGAAGGGAAGCGGCATGTCTTGAGTCTTGAGCCTCGGAAGTTCCGCGGATGGACCTCGCGAAGCCTATGGTATTCCAGCTTTGAAGTCTGTTCGCGCATACTGGGCATAGGGCTAAGCCAGGCTTTGGCGGGACACAGTGCTTGATTCACAAATTCGTAGCGCCCAGGCAATGTTTGGCGCACGAGTGGGATCTACTACGCTTGTACTGAGATGCTCCAGCTTGAGTCGCCAAAGTATACATTTCTCTGCGAGCGGAGCTACCTAGAGGTCTACTTAAAAAGCCTACTACTCGTGTGAAAGGGCGGTAGTTGCCTCCACTTGCCGCTCGGTAAGCCTCATGTTGGGAGCCCGATAGAGACATTGAATGTATTAAGTAGTGGTGAATATTCAGAACATGATGTTGTAAAAGTGCATGGCTCTATCCGTTCACATCGGCTTTATGTTGCATTCAGTCAAAAGCAAATCTGAACAGTTCTTAGAATGACAGGAGCTACTCAATCGCCGTTTTTATCTCGTGTTGACTCATAGCATTGTAGACAGGTCTGGAGGTGCTGTTTTTTGTAGGTCTCAGAAGAGCTGCTTTGAAGGCTACAAACAGCTCGAAGTTGTGCAAAGTACAACAGCAACATCAACGGGACAATGTTATCATGGGCATATCCTATCTGTTTACGTGCTTTACACATTTGCCGAGCGGTGTTTTTTTGTGTGTGCGCGGGTCCGAAACAATATGAGCTGTTCAAGTTTTGTAAAATTACTACTCGAATGGTTTGTCATTACAGCATGACTTTTGAAAACACACACACACACAAGGCAGATGTGTGCAATACATAACTTTCGGAGAAAGTTTTCAACAAGTTGAGCCATGTTTGATAGTGCCCAAACACTTGGAGTTGTTTCTCTAAACATATGAATTCGCAGCAACATGACTCCTAAATATTCGAACCCCCACTTCAAAGGACACAGTTCTTTCCTTTAAGGTGTGGCCGGGGATGGGAGAGGGGGACAACAGAGG